CTGTGTGTGTGCATGTGTGTCTGTGTGTATATGTGTGTGTTTGTGTATTTATGTGTCTCTGTGTCTGTATGTGTGTATGTGTATGTCTGTGTGTATGTGTTTGTGTATATGTCTGTGTGTCTGTATGTTTGTGTGTCTGTGTGTATGTGTGTATGTGTGTATGTATCTGTGGTCTGTGTGTCTCTGTGTGACTGTGTATGTGTATCTCTGTGTGTCTGTGTGTGTCTGTATGTGTCTGTGTGTGTATCTGTGTGTGTGTGTGTGTGTGTGTGTGTGTGTGTGTAACTGGGACAGAGGAAAGAGTAGAAATTGAGCAAATATACTACTCATAAAATTCTAGAAAAAAATCCAGCAAATAAGCATAAAAGCAAGTTTCATAGAAACAGCTGGAAGGCATAATTAGACGACACACGTGTCTAGTGTCCCTTCTGTGGCTCTGGTAAAATGCGCTCACCAAGTGCAGCCTGTGGAGGAATGGCCTTACCTAACTTACACTCCAGAGCAGCTCGTCATCACCCAGGAAGTCAGGGCAGGAACCGGAGGCTGGGACGCTTGTTACTTCGGGCATTAGTGGCTTCAACCAGGAAACTAGCTCATAGCCAGAGTTCAGTAGAAACTGTGTAAGAGGCTGCCTGCTGCCTTGCTTGTAGGTTCATGCCCAGCTGGCTTTCTTACACAGGCTGGGACCACCCAGCCAGGGACGGTGGTACCCACAGTGGTCGGAGCCCTCCTATATCGACTAACAATCAAGCAACTTCTCACAGACACACCCACAGGCTAATTTGATCTGGGCAGTCCTTTAACGTAGACTCTCAGGTGACTCTAGACAGTGTCAAGGTGACAGTTAAAACTAATTAGGAGAGGAGGTAGAGAGATATGAGCTTAGGATACGAGTGCTCACTGCCCTCACTGAGGGCCAGGGTTCAGGTCCTACTCACCCAGTCACTAACAACTGTCTCCAGATCCAAGGGATTGAAAACCTTCTTCCAGCTTCCACAGGAACTGCACACGTGATGAACACACACACACGCACACACACATATGCAGGTAAACACCAATATACATAAAAATAAATTACCAATATACAAATAAATTCATAAAAAACTAGGAGGCAAGGTTGTACTTGGTCCATATGTGCATCCTTCCCTGCTGGCTCTAGTTTTTGCCAGCATCTCTGCTTTCACAGCCTGTCCACACGATGCTTTCCAGTCCCACATCTAGGTGTTTGTGTTAGGGTGGGATCCCAGTACATGTCTGACCTACTTGTGAGACTTGTGCAGAACCTACAGCCTGTGCATGCTGGGCCAGTATCCTACCACCAAGCTACACCTCCACTTGACAGAATCAGCTTATGGATTTTATGGCTTCAATCTATACTTGCTTCAGACGGCCACATTGCAGGATGGAGAGGAGTCCAGATGTCAGTCATTCTGCAGGAGCTGGAGAAAGGCCTGTAAATGGCCTGCATCTCCTTAGGAGAAAAGACCGCAGAGTGCCAGTGTTGGCTGCTGGGGCAGGGATGGGTGAGCCACGTGGTCCTGGGGGAGGAGCCACGTGGTCCTGGGATGAGGGAGGAGGGAAGGCCAGGAAAGAGTCTCCATCACAGTGACATGGCAGCCAGAAGTGACTGTAACCTCAACCCCGGTGACCAGCCTCTGCCAGCCAGCCATGCTTAGTCTGTCATATGTCTCTAACCTGGTATTGACAGAACTTACCTTGTTCTTTGCACAGCTGCAGCATTAGCTTGGCCTCAGCTCCGCTGTGGTTTCAGTTCCCTCCCCAGCTTGCAGAACTCTGCATGCACACAGCATCTTCCCTCGGAGCCAAGCTGTTCGGGATCTCGATTCCAAGGGCGGGCGAGTCAACACTTACCATTCAGAGGGGTACTCAGAGGGACATAGATCCCGACAAGATGTCATCTGGAACTTTCCAATATGCAACAGTGGGGTGGAGTGAGGATCAACCCACTCAAGGCTTGACTGAGGCTGGGGATTGCATCCAGTACAGAGTCTCAAAGATCCTTGATGACATGTCTTGTCAGGAGATGGCATTCATTCAAGGGACACACGAAAGGAGAGGGAGAGACAGTGTGGAGAGGTGGGTATACCAAAGCCCCATAGAAGGCCTCGGAGACTGATTAGCACAGATCCAGACCTTAACCTTGACCATTAGTTCAAGTTGGTTGTAGACTCACCTATTCCAGAGACCCAGTAGTACCGTGTAATCTCAGAAATCATATAGTTGCCTAGGCTACTCCTGTGGGTTGCTAATAACCCAACTGTGCAGGCGATGGAGAAGAGGGCTGTGAGGGACCTGAGAACATCTGTTAGGATTGAATCTAACGACTGGGCTTGCTTCTATTATTTCACTAACAGTGGGGTCTCAAAGGCGGGGAAGGGAATTGAGTGATCACCCAAATGAATTTGTACGTTACACAAAGAACGTAGGTGTGCCCGGCTCTGCACTGCAAAGCTAAATCTCTCACCTCTCCACCCTCCAACCCCAGGGCCACGTGGCTCCCCCAACCCAGGACCATGTAGCTCCTCCCCCAGGACCACGTGGCTCACCCATCCCAGAACCATGTGGCTCCTCCCCTAGGACCATGTGGCTCACCCATCCCTGCCCCAGCAGCCAACACTGGAGCTCAGCAGTCTTTTCTCCTAAGGAGATGCAGGCCATCTACAGGCCTTTCCCCAGCTGCTGCAGAATGACTGACATCTGGACCTCTCTCCATCCTGCCATGAGGGCGTCTGAAGCATTGGCAATCACATCCTACCGAGTTCACAGACCGTTGCCAAAATGCACAGCACAGAGGGTTGGCGAGTGTACTGAGTCACAGCGAAGGGATTACAAAGTGCAAACGGTGTCCTGAAACTGCTATGACATGAAACAGCCCATTTAAAAAACTGACTCAGGCTTAGCCGGGGCCTGGGCCAGCTGCTCCCGGCAGGTGGCTTGAGCCACACTGCCATAGCACCTTGGCCCAGGTGGGTGGCCTTTGTGACATGAAGAAGACAAGAGATGTCCAGAGAAATTGATGTGAGGTCACAGACAATACAGTGTGTGTGAAGGAGAGCTGGGAAGGTCACCCCAGGACTGAGGGTAAAGTCAGAGAGTCAGTGTAGCTGGGGAGTCCACAGACTAAGGAGCCAGCTGGTAAGCTCGGAAGCTGCGCCTCGGGGCTTTACTCTGTGTGTGTGTGTGTGTGTGTGTGTGTGTGTGTTGCACACATGTGCACACATGTGTATGTGTGTGTGCATGTAATTGTGTATGTGAGTGCACACATGCCTATGTGTGTGTGCACAAAGGGGTCAGAGAATAAATAACCTTGGGTGTGAGTCTTCAAGTACCTTCCACAGTTTTTTGAGACAGCGTCTCCCATTGGCCTGGAACCTCACAAAGCTAGGCTAGCTGGCCAGTGAGTTCCAGGGACCCATGTATCTTCCATCCCAACACAGATGGGATGTCAAGGGTGGGCCACCATACCTGACTCTTACAAAGCTTCTAGCCATCAATCTCAGGTCCCCATGCTTGCAAGCAAGAGCTGTAGTCACCAAGCTACCTCCTGGCCCTCCCCTGATGCTTTGTAACAAGGAACTGCAGCTCTCCATGACTGATGTACTGATGACAGAATCTGGCTTAACAATGGCTTGTTCATTACTCAACAAGAATCTCATGATTATGACAATAAGCAGGATGACCAGTGGCTAGTGCAGAATGGAATTCCTCAGTGACAGCCTCAGCTATAGAGGCCTTTTTACCTGCTCAGTGCAATCATGGAGGTCCTTAGGTGAAGCCTGTGCTTTTTCTGTATTGGTTAAAAATGAGAGCGAGCTCGTGGGAGTCAGGAGGTCCATGCTACGTGTGTGCTTTCGTAACGCCCCATCTGTATGACTCTCATGTGTCCACATTCTCGGACAAACTAAGACTGTAACACAAACCCCTAGGAGTCAGCAAAGTTTCTGCTAGGCAACTGTTCATTAGCAAAGAAGCACAAACGGAGACCACTCCCATTCTGGTTCGCCATGAGAGGCCAAGCTCATTTTATTAACGTACATTCTGCATTCTAAGAACTAGTAACTTCATATTGTAAACATTAAGCATTACAGAGTTAAAATTCAAGGCCACATCATATGTTTGATTGTCTCTTTTGTGTGTGTGTGTGTGGTGTGTGTCTTTGGCTGGCCGAGGTCAACTCGTAGTGTATAAATGCATAAGTTATATAATTATTATATAAAAAGAAAAAAACCCATTGACTTGTAGACTTCGTTCTGACGAACGCACAGCGTTCGCGACTCATTAAGGAAAACTGGAGCCCACCTATCCACAACGCCTGTGTGGTCTCTAACCATGGTGGCTACTAAGGTCACCTCTCAATGGACCCTGTGAAGGATGAAGCCTCCACCAGATGCTGAGGTTCTGATTTTTTTTTAAATATCGGACAATTCCAGTTATGATTTCCTTTTCACAAAGAAACATATTTTTGGTTCTGAATACTACTGCTCCTGGTCCTCCACGAGTCCGTGTCCTTGTAACACTGACAGTATCAAACACCTCTCTTGACTCATGCTCTTTGCTCCCAAGATGTCCTATATTCAGCTGTGGTGGCTTGAGCAGCTGCCTTCTATTCCTTTCCTCTTGCTCCTCCTTTTCCTCTCCTCCTCTTCCTCTCCCTCCGCCTTTTCCTCCTCTCCCTCTTCTTACCCTCTCTTCCTCTCCTTCCTCTCCTCCTCCTCTTCCTGTTCTTATACCCTCCTCTCCCTCCTCTTCCTCTCCTCTTCCTCTCCTCCTCTTCCTCCTCCACTCCCTCCCCGAACTCCTCCTCCTCTACCTCTTCCTCCATTTTAGTCTCTCTTCTATAATCACATACTCACAACATGCACATCCCCCGCCCACCACACGGCTCACATTTCCAGTAATACTGAAAAGGAGATGAGACCCTGGGTCATCTTCACAGTTTGACAGAGCTGGCAGCTCTCTATCAAATGGAACAAATCTGATTTCAATGAAAACAGCAAATGCCAGCCAAGAAAGTCCACAGCCAATGTGGTCTGTGGACGGGCCGCCATTTTATTTATTTATTTATTTATTTAGTCTTCTTCTTTGGTTTTGATATGGTTTCTGGTTTTAAACACAGGTAGTTTCCCTTCAAATGACATCATACATGGTGTGTTAGGCCAAGACTGATACTGTTCTATTGCTTTCACTGAATCCTGGTAGGTACAAGCAAGGTCCCACACTCTACAGTTTGTACACTACTTAAGGCCACTTCCTTGGGGAGTTGTTCTCATGGGTCATGCTTCTCTACATACAATGTCTTTGACGAGGGTGGACCACAGGTTATATGTCCATGTACAGTCTATTTTGAGCTGCTTCTATTTCTGTAGTAATACTTGGGGGGTGCCCACCCTCCCCTGCGAGTCTTTGGTTTTCTTTCCCTGGTTTCCTTCCCCAGCTCTGGCCAACCATTGCCATTCCTCAGGAGGCACTTTTGATTTGTGTTCTCTGAGTGTGTGGCGACTGCTAGGCAATTGTACACTGTTGGGAAAGGCCTCCGTCTGGTCTCTAGTAGTAGGTGCCCAGGTGAGAGGGCATATGGCCGGCTGGGAGCCTCGTGTTCGGGTAGATGCCCCCAGTTGGTGAATTCCAGTATGGGTTCGGGCTAGCAAAGAAACTGGAAGAGGTGACTGGGAGGGCTGGAGGGTGGGGAGCCACGAAGTTCATCTTCTGGGGGTGGGCATGATAGGAGCCCATGTACGGCAGGTCAGAGGGGTACTTGTACAGGGATGACTCGGGAGGGTGGGGCTGCAGGGCCTGGGCGATCCCGTGGAAGTCAAACTTGTAGGCATAGCGCTTGCCGTGCACCTTGGTCATGATGTTTTTGTCGTAGTAGTAGCGGAGGGCGCGGCTGAGTTTATCATAGTTCATGTTGGGCTTGCTCTTTCGCTCCCCCCAGCGCCGAGCCACCTCGTCTGGGTCTGTCATCTTGAACTCTCCGTTGGTGCCTTCCCAGGTGATGCAGTTGGAGTTGGAGCTGTCAGACAGGAGTTCGAGCAGGAACTGCCACAGCTGGATCTGGCCACTACCTAATGATCAAGAGGGACACAAACCCAGTGAGGTCCAACGTCAGCAGGTTCACTCCTCAATGGTGGAGTTCTCCCACTGATGAGTCTGCTCTGACCAGATCTGTTCTCCCAACCCAGCCCCATATCTCTGCTTCTGTGCTGTGGCTACTTTGGACTCTTGGCTCCTCATTTAGCTAGAGAGCAAACCTTGACTGAACAGGAAATGCTCCACACCCAGATAGTCCAGACCACACTGATGAAGGGGACTACAGGACACACTGATTCTGAATGCTGCTTGTGCCCCATAGATGCTTAGGAACCAGGCTGGCACATGACGGTTCAGCTTCAAGAAGTCTGAGAGACTGCTCAGTATTCCTCCTGCTCAATGCTGCTTCCTCTTGAGAACAGACCCTTAAGAAGCCATCACTTGGGTTTCCTTATCTCTGCCTCCACTTCCAGGATACTTGACCTTGTATGCCCGTCCGTGATCACTCTCACATTGGCCTCACAGACCCAAGTTCTCCATGCACGCACACACACACATACACACACACACACACATACACACACACACACACACACACAGAGGTGTGTGTGCATGGAGAACACACACAGGGCAAAGTTCAGCAGGTTTCCTTCTACTTTGGAATCCTTCAAAGAGCTCCCAGGTCATGCTGTTTTCAGGGGAATGAATGAGCCACTTTTTCCCATTTTGTGAGGCGGAAAAGGCCATTCTGTGGATGGCAATAATGGTCTGCCACCATTTATATTGGCTGGGTAAAACGAAATAACAAAAGTCAGATTTAGGAAATGAACACCTACGAGTTTATGGAAAAGCAAATAGAGAGTGGAAGTAAACACTGTTATTCCTAACATAAGATCTGGCGCGTGCTCAGATGGCAATTCTGTCAGAATTTTTCCTAGGACAGAATTAACCCGCTCCAAATGAGGAAGTTTGGAAAAAGAACTGGCTCTGTTTCAAACTAGGATCACCCATTCCCAGTCCTGGGCCAAATGCACCAGGACTGAAACCCATGTACCACAATGTTTCTAAAAGACAACGGGCTACGGGTGGAACTCTTTGGAATTAAAGAGACCCTGGTTCAGTCAGAATGAGTGGTGAGTGTGTGTGTGTCTGTGTGTGTGTGTCTGTGTGTATGTGCACAAGTGCCCATGTTTGTGTCTGTGTACACGTGCATGCTTGTTCATGTGTGTAGATGTATAGATATATGTACTTGTGTATGTGTGTATACTTGTTCATCTATGGGTGTGTGTGTGTGTGTGTGCATATAAAGGTAAGAAAGACATTTGGTTATGTTGCCCTACCTTGCTTTTTAAGACAAGCTCTCTTGATGGCTTGGAGTTTACCATGCCTAGGCTGCCTGGCCCCTGAGCACAGAGATCCATCACACCCACACCACTGGGGTTATCACTGTTCACAACCACACTGAGGCCTTTGTATTTGTTCTCTTGTTTATTTTGTTTGTTTGCTCGTGTTTGTTACACAAGCACCTGACCGACTGAACCATGTCTCTGACCCTTACGTCTTCTCCGTCAGAGAAAAGTCTGAGCGTATCACTCTAGCCGCCATGTTACACAGCTCCCAGGGATCTGGGGTTTGCACAGGGAATAGGTGGGCTCTACACCAGGCCGCTCCTGCGCTGCTCTGCTTTGTCCTGGCTTCCCACTTCTCCAGAGACCTACCGTTAGCCGGGCAAGCATATATCTACACCCAGATACTACAGGCCAGATGGACAGAGGGAACGACAGGACACTCTAGTTCTGTCTACTGTTTGTGCCCTGAGTGATAGTTATGTTGGGTACCAGGAGAAACAAAGTTATGCGCCATGTATTTTAGTTTTAAAGTGAGTGGAAGGCAAATCTCTCTTCCAAGACTCCAGGGAAGCACACTGCCTTGAGCTCATTACCAGAAAGATATCTTTTATGTTATCATAAGTAATAGGATAGATATGATCAATGATCAGGTTAACTTTGACTGTCACTCATTCAAGGAATGGACGGAATGTAAAACTCAGCTATGAATTCACTTTCTCTGAACCCTGTCCACCAGCCCCCCCCCACTGCACCCCCGTACATGGCCCCGTCCTTGTTCCTATGTGGGCTGCATGGAAATGTGTGTCTGTGGATCTACCCACGTAACAGCACTGTGAGAAAGGTCAGCCTCTTCTGACGATGTTATGGAAAGGGTTGTTTTCAGTCAAGCGACACATTTGTGATGTATTAACAGCTTGTAGCTTGTCGGAATGGCAGCCTGCGCTGTTGCAGAGCTACGCATACGAACCGTTCTCAATCGAGGGCTGCTGCCTCCCACATCTCATTAATATGCATTGCAAAACGTAAAGGACAGAACAAGTGAGCCATATGGTTCTGGTATATATATTGTAACCAGAGGATTAAAACTTGAGAAAAGAATTCCACAGATGACCTGGGAATAGGAGAAGCTGTGGGTTTTGGATTTAACAGTCTAACATATGCCTCACTCCAAACATGGACAGTTGCTGGAAAATAAATATTTAGTGTCAACTTCCTCCCGTAGCGAGAGAGCCACCCTACAGATTTCGTACAAATACACAGAACAAATAACACTTGGTATCTGTTCAAACATTGGCATCGTCTTTGGGAATCTCTCCCTCAGCCACTTCCCTTATGAGCATGTGTAGGAAGGAGGGGGGAGAAGAGTCTCCTGTCTCTCTTGCTTCTGAAGAGCCAGAAAACATGCAATCCCTACATACATGGCAGGGAACTCAAAGCGTGGAGGACAGACGAGCTCACGTTGCCCTAGGCTGTTTTACTTTACTTATTAGCTAGGGAGACACAGGGCTCAGGGCTGAGGACAAGCCTGCCAAGCCTCCCCAGAAGATCTCTAGACGCAAACTCCATTGGACTCCAAACGTGAAAATGAAAGTAGCTGTAAAAAAATGAAACTAGCTGTAAAAACCAACAAATGCTTAAGTAAACACTATAAACAGCAGCCAGTAATGGGTCAATCTCTGAATCATTTAGGCTACATGAGTCCTCACTGAGCAAGAATTCTCAAGGGTACTGAGAGTAGGGGTACTGAGAACGCAGCACCAGATAAATTAAATGAGATACTACTGCCTGCCAACAATTCAAAGGCAATTTATTAAATTGCCACGACCGCCTGGATGGTAACAGTCATGGTGTGATGGGGCGCACTGTGAATAAAGAGTGGAACCCTGACACAAAGTATACTGGGGGCTCAGGGGGCCACTCTCCAGCCAAACTAGTAAGAAAAGACAAGACAAGATTGTAGTTGGGAGACAGCTCAGGGTTTTGAGCTCATCCCACACAGATGTAACAACTGGAATTTAGATGCACAGAAGCCATGTAGATCCCAGGTAGGCACAGTGGCTCGTCTGTGATTCCAGAGTCAGTCTCTCTCACTGACAGGCAGGAAGTAGCCAAAAGCAATTGACTATCCAGGACTACCTGGACAGGCAGAAGCTTCAGCTGGGCTTGTTTTCGATATTGGACATTAGTTTTGAAGCTCACTGGAGCTAGACACTACTGTCAATGCTCACATGTGACAGTGTGTTTAATCCTTGGTAAATCATGTTTAACTCACTGGAGTGCTTAGAAAACAGGGGTGTGGGATAGGATGGACTTTTATGCCAAGGTCAGCAGAGGTCAAACATCAGACCCATACTCTTTGTCCAACATAGACCAGTACTTAAGCCATGTGCCTACAGATGCCTCAGCAGCCCTCTGGTCCTTCCTAGGCTGTCCTCTCTTAGGCTTACAAATTGTTGGGGACTCTCCTGAATGGAACAGGTTTTCATGCCCTAACAACAGACAAATCTTCTCTGAAATAGCTCTGTCCCTTCACAAGGAGCTGGATGTATCATCTTATAGAATGCCTGGCCACCGGACAGAACTCAAGAAAATCTGTTCCACAGGAAGGAACTTGGAGTCCGTCCCAGGAGCTCGGCAGTTGTGATGGAATGTAGAGAGACTGGCAGCTCCTCGCTGATTCATGAGGTAGGGATGCCAGGACACACCTTTCTCAGCAGGGGAGGTAAGTGTTCAAAGCACACATCAGATGCATGTTTGGAGTAGAGACATTGGTGTCCCCACGTTGCCATCAACTGTTACATGCACATGCAGGGCATGTGTGTTGATAAGTGACTCAGTAGTTAAAGGAACTGGCTGGTCCTCCCTTAGCCATGCTGGAACAGCTCACAGCCACCTATACCTCCAGTTCAAGGAGACCCAACACCCTCTTCTGGCTTTTAAGGGTGCCTACATATAATCATGGTGTCCGTGAACTCACATGGGATATATGCTTACGGGCTTTTTTTAAAATCATATTGTATAATAAAAGTCTTTTCATTAAAAATGGAAGAAAAGATTTTGAAGAAGGTTCCACATGATGCTCAGAAAAAAAAAAACAATAATGCGTTCTCTTTCTGTTGAGTGAACTATTTTACACACACACACACACACACACACACACACACACACACACACTTATTCTGGTTTGTCCATAGTACATTTCAATTCTGCAGTGTCTTTACCTGGTTTTCGTTTGGGAGAAATATCTAGACATGAGAGCAGAGTATTGAAGATCCTCGCTGTTACTGTGTCAGGACCTATGTGGCTGTTTATGGTTTTTAGTGCTTGTTTTATGAAACTAGAGGCTCCAGTATTTGGTGAACAAAAGCTCACAGTTAATAAACTGTTCATCGATCTACTAATATGTAGAGCCAGTCACTTTAATTGTCTCCCAATGAGTTCTAGTTTGCCTAAAGCAGTTTTCTGATTTCCTTCCTTTCTTCTCTTCCTCTTCTTGCTCTTGAGTCTTATCCTCTTCCTCCTCTTCCTCAGGCTCATCTCTCCAACCTCAACATCCGTTCAACTAAATAAAAGTACTCACGGCTCATGCTTCTCAAAGCTTCCCTCCTCCCGTCAAACTCCTCTTCCAGAAGTGTAGAAAAGGAAAACAAAATCAGACTTCAGAGAACTCAGGTCCCAGACTGAGCCTCCTTTCTATTTGAGCGTGACCCAGGGAAAATTCCTTGACACCTCAGGGCTCCTGACACCTCTTCTATAGGACAGAAATAACAATGTTCTGGGCCATGCAAAGCCTGGTGGGAACCTCAGGTATAAAATGCCCTGTGAGTGGGCGCTGCATGGAGTGTGAGCTTCAGGCTTGCTATTTCCCAGCATAGACTGCTGTTCCCGGAGCCTGTAGCCGCCAAGTGTGTCTAATCTAACCTGAATGGTGCCGTCAGACAAGCCTTTCCAAAGCCTAGTTATCATCACCACCACCAGAAGCAGTCAGGCAAAATCTTCATGTGTGTGTGCACATGTGCATTCACATGTGTACATGTGCAGACACATCAGTGGAAATGAGAGAAATGACATTGGGTATCCATCTTGCCTTGCACCTTGTCTGAGGCATCTGTTCTTCACAGCTGTGTGTGCCAAGCTGTCCCAGTGAGCTCTTGGGGATTCTTCCAGCTTTGCCTCCCCTCTTGCCACAGGAGGACTAGAAAAACACATTCGTCCTACATATGTGAATTTTATACTGAGTTGGGGATTCAAACTCAGTCCTTGCAACCACACAGTGAGCACTCTGCATACGAGACGGTCTCCATAGCCTCGTAGTCACGATGGGCATCCGAGCAGCTACAGCACGGTTACACGTGGGCGGCTGAGAGGAGCACAAGTGGAGAATCCTTGGAAGTCCTGCCACTGAGTGACTCCATGGACTATGGAGCATTGTGTTTGCCTGTGCCCTTCTCTCCACTAGGTGACAGTGCCTGGGGTGAACTATGTCTTGTCACACTAGAGATGAACTGACAAGCAAACGAGGTGCAGGTACCCAATGTGTGCACTGGGCTAAAATGATGTCGAAAAACAGTCTCCCCGTTTTCAGGGCTGCTCAGAACATGTTTACTGAATTAATCAGCAATAATCACAATTTCATGGCAGGCTCTGTTGCTCAACAATGATGGTATTTCACATTCTCAGAGTATGGATTCTCTTGTGGGGACGAACATGATGAGAGCATCAGAATCTTTGTGTTTTCCAAGCCCTGTTTGGCTTGGGGTTTGTGAAACAGAAATTCCAGTCTGTACTTACAGCGTGGCTATGACATCTTGGCATCAAATTTACAGCTGAGAATATGAAGCAGATGCCACAACACCCTGGGATTCCTGACAGCACAGCTGGTTCTAATCTAAATGCTAACAAATAGAGCAAGCTAGTTGGCACCCACTGACCTGTTTGGACAGGTGAAGAAGGGGTCACGGCCAGGTATGTATGAAGAGCCTGTTTTCTCTGCATCTGATTCAGAAACAGATCATTATGGATGACCACAATTGGACTCCGATGGTCATTAGATTATCCCTTTAAAACATCAGTTACTGAATCTCCTTGGTAATAGGTTGGAACCTGTCCCTTAAAATTCATACACTGAAAGCTGAATCCCCAGTAGCTCCTAATCCTTGTTTTAGAGACAAGCATTTCACAGAGGTTATCAAAACAGACTAGGCCCACCAAAGAAGCCCATATTCCAGTGTGACTGGAAAAGTCTAAGACGTCTGAGTCTGATCTTCAAAACCTAGAATTCAAAAAGCCAAGCACCGTAGCATGTCATGAGGCAGAGACAGGTTAGATCTCCAGGGCTCACTGGACAGCTGGCCTAGCCTGCTTGCAGAATTCCAAGCATGAGAGAGCCTGTTTTTAAAAGCAAAAGGGGTAGATAGTGTGGTATTGTGGATGGATGGGTATCCTAATACCAAAGGTTATCCTCTGACTTCCACATACATGAGCAAACACACACACACACACACACACACACACAGACGGAAGTCTGGACACAGAAGCGTAGAGAGTAACGACAATAAAGAAAGCACAGGGAGATGCTGCCCATCCAGAAACTACCGGAGCAGACCCCTTCCTCAGAACCCCTTCCTCAGAACCCCTTCCTCACAACCCCTTCCTCACAACCCCTTCCTCACAACCCCTTCCTCACAACCCCTTCCTTCCTCACAACCC